GTGTGTATTGTTGCGCACTTAAAAATTTCTTGGCAGTTGAAAATCGAAAAGTAGCCTTACCTCGCTGCCCGGGCAAAATTTAGAGTTAAAAATTTATCCAAAGTACTTCTGTATCCTCGCCGGTGCAACAGAGTTCGTGCACTGCGCTGAGATTCTTCGGACTCAGGCGTGAGTTAGAAGAAGAACGAAGCACTGACGGGTTACTACCCTTGTGCCAGGATGCTTATCCGCCAAATTAACATAAACAATTATAGTTCCTTTTCGTCTTTTAAGTCTTTGCCGGCTGTAAACTCTAGCTGAAAGCTCTTGTTGTTCGTCCACTTCTGGACTGCAGTCTTGTACCAGAACTCCAATTTTGTGTAATATCCGTTTTACGGATCTGACCTGCTTGTATGCAGACTCTTGGTTCCCCGCCGCCCGAGGAAGATGAGCTTTGACTTTGGAGTGGAAAATCCCTAATTAGTTGCCATTTTCCAAAGGGAAAAAACAGTGCCCCGGTACCTACACGAGGAACTGGAAGTAGCTGAGGTCGGAGACAAGGCGTCTCAAGAAAAGTCCGGATTAAGATTGGGAGATCATTATGCTGTCTGAGACATAGGATTACAGTTCATGACTCGAACATCTATGTTTGTTTGTTTGTTTGTTTTTGAAATTTTAAAAGTCTAACTATACTTTGCTTTGTTTTGTAAATCAAGATGGCGACTGTTGCTATGGCAACAATGATTTTTTTAAACTTCAAGTGTTCACATGTATTAATATACGTCCGACAGGCAACCATTATAAAATAATTGGTTTAACAGTGTAAAGTAAAGTAAACGTCCCTTTTCAACGCCTTTAAACGTATTGGACATATAGGGCTAGACACATATTTTGACAGACCGATCAGCACTTGGTGGGTGATGTAGTCAGCATTACACCGGCCGCCTTTACTTCCCGGGACTGCACCTGGTACCCACTCAAGGCTGGGTCGACCTGGGAGTCGAGATCATTTTTTTTTTTAGTGACCGGCTCCGTAAGGACGCGAACCAACGACCTTCCGATCCGCAGGCGACCCCCCGGTCCAACATTGTAATAATAATAAAAAAGTATTTTTGTAGTGATGACCCCTTCAGATGTCAAGGTGATTGCGGGACTAGGATTGAGGCTGGATTGTAATGTGATAGCCGGGGGTCGGGAATGGGGCATGACCAAGAACGTTAGGATAAGGATTAAGTCGTCAAGACGATAGAATGGATTAGGATTGCGGCTTAATGATGAAAAGTTTGGTTGGAGAATGAGTTCATTACAAAAACAGGTAAGAAAAGCTTTGAGACGTCACACCGATAGCTGGGATTCTTGTTAAGACGTCATGGTAATAGCTGTGATATAGATTTAGACGTCATGAACATAGCTGGGATTCTTGTTAAGACGTCATGGTGATAGCTGCGATATAGATTTAGACGTCATGAACATAGCTGGGATTCTTGTTAAGACGTCATGGTGATAGCTGCGATATAGATTTAGACGTCATGAACATAGCTGGGATTCTTGTTAAGACGTCATGGTGATAGCTGCGATATAGATTTAGACGTCATGAACATAGCTGGGATTCTTGTTAAGACGTCATGGTGATAGCTGCGATATAGATTTAGACGTCATGAACATAGCTGGGATTCTTGTTAAGACGTCATGGTGATAGCTGTGATTCGGATTTAGACGTCATGAACATAGCTGGGATTCTTGTTAAGTCGTCAATGAGGGTAGCTGGGATTCGGACTTAGAAGTCATGATGGTAGCTGGGATTCAAATGATTGACTCAGTGAAAGTTGGGTCTAGACTGAAGCTGAACAGTGATAGCAAAAATTAGTATTAAGATATTAAAGACTTGTCAAGATTTGTTGGGATGAGAAGTTAGTAGTTGTCGTTGAGTTACGTATGATAAGTTGTGGTCTTGAGTGAGGTGACATACAACTGAGGATTGAGGGTGAGGTGTCTCAATAGCTGGGTTCGAAAGCGAAGTGGTGTGGTCGTGAATGAGGTGACATAACAGGTTGAACCTGAGTTTGTAAAAAAAGTAAAGGACCCTTTCCCACGCCATCAGGCATATAGGGCTAGACCTATATTTTTTATAGACCAATCGGCACAATGTGGGTGATGTGGACAGCATCACACCGGCCGCCTTTACTTTCCCGGGACTGCACCCGATACCCACCCAAGGCTGGGTCGACCTGGGAGCCAAGGTCATTTTTGAAAAAAGTCCGGCTCCGCCAGGGAGCGAACCCACGACCTTGCGATTCGCGACGAGCGTCTAGCCGCTCGGCCACGGCGACTCCCAGCCTGAGTTTGAGTGGAGTGTAAATACGGGGTCGCTGATCATTCTTCACTATACCGGGGATCGGGATTGTTATTTTACAGTTGACCCTAGGTGTAGGGATTGGGGGTCACATTGGTCCCAGTGGCTGGGCTTGGCTGTCATACTAGTACTTGTTATGTTATGTTATCGCAATCGACGAGGAAGAGGAAAAGGAAAAAAAGAGGATGGGGGGGGGGGAAGAAAGGGACAAAAAAGAAGAAAAGGAGAAGAAAAATTGCTTTACTTTTATCTATCACTTTTTGTCCTGCCAGTGAGTACAACACATATTTTATTCATCTAACTTATGCAAATTGCACTTTCCTTGTAAGTACCAACCAACTACTAAACTATTATCCACAACTATAATATCAAAACAGTCTGGCAATTACTTAGGACTCACCTGTTTAAACATTTGGACGATATTTTCTAACGCTACCTGGTACACTTGAACCCAGAAGACGTAACGACTTGCCGGGATGGAAATGTAATTTTGTACTTCATTTATCCGTTTTCAGACAGAGTTTACCTGCCGGCTGTGTAAAAATCCGGAATTAATATAAACATTAACGAAATCTTTAATGACGGAAGTAATGCAAAAGAAACTTTGCCGTCCTCGGCTTTCTGAGTAGCCAGAGGCCATGTTGACTTATCTTCTGTGTTTTTTTTTTAATTAGA